AGCCCTCCTCCTTATACGAATAAAAAGGAAAAGAAGCCTACTGATAAGGATGAAAAAAATGATTTAAAAGCTGTTGATAAGAATACTAAACGTGTTTTTCCTTCCATTTACCCCTCTCTGCATGGGCTGAGGGAACAATATGATGACACTCTGGCCCCTRGACGCCGACCCCCCCCGCCGACAGCAGCCTRCCCTGAATCTGATGACGAGGAKGAAGAGATGCYRGAYACGGRATCTGACGACGACACAGCTGCTGATATCGGGCCTCAAACATCATCTCCCATGAGCACCGACCCAGCGAAGCAAGCACTACCACAGCCACAGCCGAGAAAGGTGAAAAGAGAGGCTGCTWCAAAGATGGAACTCAGGAAAAGACAAGAAAAGCACGGCGCAACAGAAGCCTCCTGCTCCTCCATCCCTCGCTCAAAGACAGGGTACCACAGCTCTGATGCYGTGGCGCTGAAGACTACACAGAAACTGGCTGAGATACAGGAGGAAAAAGAGGCTCTGGAAGCACAGCTAGCAGCATTAACTCAGAAGACCAGCGAACTGACCCTCCCCATGATAGAGGTCGCAGGACATGCAGGTCCAGTACTGGTGTTCCGCCCCTGGACAAATGAGGATAAGAAGGCCTACATGCAGCAGCTGCCGAACGTCGTGGAAGGTGGTGAAAAGTTCTGCGCGGCTTTGAGAAATTTCTGCAAAGAAGTACAACCCACTTTCCCTGAACTGAAAAGGCTGCTGATCTTTCATATGGGCCGAACCAACTATGACAAGGTTAAAGGCGACCTGGACGGTGAATACCGTACCATACATCCGACCTTTGAAGACGCAGCAAACAATGACTACCGAGCTGCATTGGATAAACTGTGTGTCACCATCAACCGNCCAAGCGTGAGTTCCTGACCCTCCTGATGAACTGCCTAAGAACTCGTAGAATCTTTGATGGACCAGAGAACAGGAAATTCATCACGTTTGACAGTGCAGGTATAACATCATTCAGAGTGATGTTTCAGAATGTTCATTGTAAAATGTGTAAGTCTTGATTGATGTAGAACTAATGTGACAAAATTACATACAGYAATTATATACAACATGTAGAGACTTAAAGGAGACTTGTGCAAAATTCACTTTTTAAAAGTTTTTTTACTCAACTTTGGGTGTGTACTTCGTAAGAAAACAGTCCTAGGACCAAAAACATGCACCCAAGGGCATATTTACTGTAAGTAAATGTATTTTAATGTATATTAATGACAAGTTTTATATATTTTGTGATGTCACAAGCCGTACGACAACCCACCAGAACCTGCGTTCAGCCTCTTACCTAGTAAATCCCAGGTGAAGCTGCTCCTCCTTATAAAAAGCCGTCACGGTGTTGTTGTGTAATGTGCACCTTATKTTATAACAAGCCTCCTATAGCACAGTGGGTAAAGTATTGGACCAAAGAGTGRGAGACTAGGGATYGWGACTGACTTGGGCACAAAGAATTTAATTGTTTTATTTTCGTTTGTTATGAACATGTTTTCTCATGTACTTCTATTGTTTAGCTTATTAAAGCCTTGTTAAAGCCTATTTGCCAAAGTTGAGTAAGAAAACCTTTAAAAAGTGAATTTTGYATAATAGGTCTCTTTTAGCCTAGGTAGCCGGTTCAACTCCAGGATGGTCTCCATGTTGCACGTGTGTTCACATGTGTGATAGGTCAAATGTAGAGACTTAAAAGCATAATAGCATAATAGGTCTCTTTTAAGTCTATATTTTTCTCTTGATGAGTTTCTGATATTTCACTTGCCATTTAAGGTTTTTTTACTGTTGTATCTTATATTGGTTGTATGTATATGTTGTTGGTCGTCCTTTAACTTGCGCTATTTTTCCCTTATTTCTCCATTGTGTCTGTTTGTTGAGTGTTGTATTTGTTTGGATATTTCATAATTATTCCATTTGGTTTGGTTTTGAGTATTGTTTACTCAAGAGGAGGGATTGTCATGGTCTAATTATTTATATCTGTTTCCTCTTGACACTGTCCATCCCTCTCATCTTTCTGATAGCTCCTGGACGACTTCACAATGGACTGGTGGGAGTCTTGTGATTGGCTGAACAGTACATTTGGCAATCTGTGATTGGTTGTAAACTGTCACATGGTGTTGACATGATGTATATTATTGGCTGTGTTCTGCTGACGCATCCAGTAGCAAGCGTGCAGAACTTCCTGATTCAGTTCTGTCTGTTTGTTGCTCACAATTAAATCATATTTTGATTATCATATACGCAGACTCTTCTCGTCTTATTCCAACGTGTTTCTGCTTTTGCGACCACAATGACCATAGGTGAGTTTAGGAACATAGACTAATCGGTAAACAGAGAGTTTTGCCTTTCAGGTCAGCTCCCTCTTCACCACAACAGACTGGTACAGAGTCCGCAAAACTGCAGAAGCCACACCGATCCCTTTATCAATCTCACATTTAATTCTTCCCTCACTCATGAACAAGACCCAAGATACTTGAACTCYTCCACTTCAGGCAGAACTTCACTCCAACCCAGAGAGAGCAATCCACTCTTTTCTGACTGATGACCATGGACTCAGATTAGGAGGTGCTGATCCTCATCCCAGTCGCTTCACACTCAGCCGCAAACCGCTCTGGTGAGAGTTAAAGATCCTGGCATGATGATGCCAACAGAATCACATCATCTGCAAACAGCAGAGATGAAATCCTGAGGCCACTAAACCAGAATCCCTCTGCCCCCTGGCTGCACCAAGAAATTCTGTCCATGTAGGTAATGAACAGAATCAGTGACAACGGGCAACCCTGGCAGTGTCCAACTCCCACTCTGAAGGGGTCTGACTTACTACTTGCAATGCGAACCAAACTCTCGCACCGCTTTATAGAGAATGAATTACCCGTAACAACGGACCCACAATCCCATACTCGTRTAGCACCCACCACAGTGTACCTGGAGGAACATGGTTGAATCACACTGCTTGTATTGAGAATGAATTACAATTAACAACAGACCCACAATCCCATACTTGTGTAGCACCCCCCACAGTGTACCTCGAGGAACGTGGTCGAATGCCTTCTCCAAGTCCATAAAACACATGTAGACTTTTTAGCAATCTCCCAAGACCCCTCAAGGAACCTAATGAGGGTAAAGAGTTGGTCCAGTGTTCCATGGCCAGGACGGAACACGCATTGTTCCTCCAGAATCTTAGGTTCGATTATTGATCGGATTCTCTTCTCCAGTAGCCCTGAAAACGCCTTACCGGGGAGGCTAAGGAGAGTGATGCCCCCGTAATTAGAGCACACCCACTGGTCCCCATTTTTAAAAACCACCACCCCACTCTGCCAATCAAGTGGCACTACCCACGATGTCCACGCGATGTTGCAAAGGCGCGTCAACCAGGACAGCCCCACAACATCTAGAGCCTTGAGGAAATCAGGGCAGATCTCATCCACCCCTGGAGCCCTGCCACAGTGGAGCTTTTTAACTACCTCAGCGACCTCATCTCCAGTTATGGACAGCCCAGCCCCTAAGTCCTCAGACTCTGCTTCCTCCATAGAAGACGTGCCGTAGGATTGAGAAGGTCCGAGTATTATTCCTTCYACCTCTCAATGACATCTCTGGTTGAGGCCAACAGCACCCCACCTTCACTGAACACGGTGCTAGTGAGATGCTGTTTCCCCCGCCTCAGCTGCTGGATGGTTTGCCAGAATCTCCTCGGAGTCAATTGAAAGTGTTTGTACAAGMCCTCACCGAACTCCTCCCACATCCGAGCTTTTGCCTTAACGCCCAGGACTCTAGCCAGCCTGGCCTGCCGATACTCCTCAGCTGCCTCCGGAGTCCTACCAGTCAACAAGGCGAGATAGGACTCCTTCTTCAGCTTGACAGACTCCCTAACCCAGAGTGTGACCGAGGCTGAACTGAGGAGGACCAGCACAAATGTATGGAGGGGGTGACCCTAATTTCAGACCTGACTTATAAACTGAGCCACTTGTTTTGGTGTGGGTCTGGTTTACAGAAGCTGCAATGTTGTGTTTTTGGAACCAGAGTCTGTGCACCAGAGATGTGGGGCTTTAAGTCCTAACTACCCTTCTGCATCCAAACATGGTGTTTATTAATACGAACATGGCTGGACTGCTGATCTCCTTCTGCACCTTTGAGTGGCAGGGGTGGAGTTATCTTTCCAAACCCGATCCTGATCCAGTGCTGATCAGGCTCTTGGCACCTACGGCACAGACATTCCTTGCTGGAACATTCTGTGACTTTAAATTACCTGTGGATGCCTGTGCCTGCTGGATCCACCTGATCCTTACCATCAACCTCTGTGACCTCATCAAGAATCATTACTGAGTAAGCTCTTCATCCCACCACAATCGACAGCACTCTCAAGTTTTAATATGAGCTTGGAGAGAGATTTTGAGCAACTGACCACTGTTGCCAACACCTCAATAAGAAATGTCGGTCTTGGCTGTACTAAACGCCGTGAAAGATGTCAGACTGATTTGTATATTTGGCCATTTGTTAATAATTGTGCTGTAGGGGAGATGCATCTCACATCTGCATGGACGTTAAAGACAACAAAATGAGTAAAAATATTTTGAACTGCCAATAAACTTAATGAAATAATATGATTTAATGCTTGGATTYAGACCAATATATGATATATGGACTGTATATCAGGATTTAAAAAGAGTCAACGTGAGCAAATACCAAGAACACCACAGGAGACCAAAACTTGAATAATAATAAATGATTTGTTTATTTACACAGGAGGGGGGAAGTGGGAAATGGGACCTGGAAGCAGAGGATTTGCAGAGGTAAGTAAAAGGTATCCAGGAAGTAATGTTCAATAGATAATGGCTTATGCTTACGGGTGAGGGCTTTGGGTTTAAAATAGAAGAGGAGGTCCAGAGTCCAAAAATCCAAACGTGATATTTACAAGTGAGTGTCGTATTTACAGGTGATTGGGAGGCGAAGAGGCAGCGCATGGCACAGGTGAGAGGCTCAGCAGGCAGGCAGACGTGACTGGGATCCAGAACAGTTCCAGGGTGATTTCCTTATTTCTGAAGACAGGTAAATACACAAAAATACGGAGATTAGGCAAAACAGATTTACAAAAACTAGTCACAGGCTGAGATCGTACCCAAAGCGGTTTGATGCTTCAGCAATGAGTTGATCCTTCAGTCTTCCTTTTAAAGCCAGCAGTGATGAGCCAGTTCCTATGCAGGTGCGTTCAATCAGCGTTGCCAGAGACATGGAGAGGCATGAGGTGAAAACCACCAAAATGCCTCAGTATTTACACATTTCTAAACAACCAGGCTTTTCAAAGATTGCGCTGCAGGGCGCCACCTGAGCTGACGATGAAGAGCAGTGATCTGAAAAACTAGTCCTAATAACCATGGGTGTGGAAGTCCGGGGGGATGTGGAACTCAGTACCCCCGGCCCAAGAAGGGAGAGGGGCCCATGGAAGTCCTGATTTATTTATTTATTTTTTGCCAAATGAAATGGGCCCTTCAATTAACTGTTGTAGTAATTTATTTCAAATATATTGATAACCTAAATTGAGAGAATGAACTTTATTTTACTGTCCACACAACATATTGGACATTCTGGGGACCTCCTCTTGGAGGCGCAAAATGGTTCAGTCTGCCCGACAGCAACCGGGAAGTGTGGAACCCAGACACAGCTGAATGAGCTGAGGGCAGACCTGGACAGACAGAACTGGGAGGTTTCCCGTGGTCTGCCTGCTGACTGGCTGGCTTGCTCAGCTGGTTAAAAGTTTACAACAGCAAGTTTACTCTACAACTTTTAAATAAACTATTTGGTGTGGTCAATGCACCTCGGGTCCCGGAGTCCAAGTTCACTCTGATATTTATTGATTATAATTTAC